TTCATCCTTCCAAAAGATGCAAATTTGAAACGATCTTTCAACAGTCGAGCAAATGCAACACAACAAAAAAGCACATTTCTCTGAACATGGCTATCTCCTCTGCACGGAAACAAAACGTGTTGTATATTTCAACTCCAGATGACCTAAACGGCACGTTTTATCTTAGACGTGACTTTACCGAAAAAACCAAAGAATAATTCCTGCAGTCACGAAAGCTCCAAAATTAAGAAGGAACAAAACTGACAAGTCATTCACTTCTTTCTTGGAAGAGACAAGTTCCTGCCTTGGGTAGTAAAGCCAAGATGCTGCTTTATATTCTATTGACTGCATTCTGGAAAAAAAAAAACTATGCAAGCAAGCTCAAAGGAATTCGATTTAAAGCTTTCGTGACTGCAGGGATTCATCTTCTTGGTTCTTTCGGTAAAGTCACGTAGAAGGGAAGTAATAAAATAATAATAAATAAAAACAGACTGTCTTCTCGACAGACCTGTTCTTCACCTGAGGACGGCTGCTTGCGTTGTGGCCGAAACGTCGTGAGAATTAATTTATAAAAAAAAAGTATTACTATTTTATTATTTCCATTCTACGTGACTTTACCGAAAGAACCAAAAGAAGCTCAAAGGAAGTTATTGAAACTGCGAGTGAAACGACACTAGCTTATCTTCTTGGTTCTTTCGGTAAAGTCACGTAGAAGGAAAATAATAAAATAATAAAAATAAAACATAATAAAATAATTCTCACGACGTTTCGGCCACAACGCAAGCAGCCGCCCTCAGGTGGAGAACAGGTCTGTCGACCGTGACTTTACTGAAAGAACCAAGAAGATGAATCCCTGCAGTCACGAAAGCTTTCAATCGAAAGACACCAGCTTATTTACCCCAAGGGCTTTTCATACAAAGTGCAACCCATGGCCCACACAACCTCCCAACCATCATCCATCTATCGCTCACCCCCCTCCTCTTCTCACTCCAGCCCCTCTTCTTCTTCGATGTCAGAGCATGAAGACAATCTTGGCATCTTGCTCCTGGGCACCTCCAGGCTGCTACTGCCTCCCCCAGCTGCGAGAACGAGGAAAGTCAACGGCTTGGCGAGCGTGCGCTCGCAAATTGTATTTGGCAATGCTGCTTTTGCGATACCGATTGCCGACGGAGGACAGATGACTGCCAGAGGGCCGCAGCGCTGGGAACACTTTGGCACGGATGCCGTCCTTGGTGTCGATGCCGTCATCGTCGTCGTCCTCGGAGCTGAGGTGGACTGTCTCTTCACTGGACGAGCGCTGCAGCGTCGTCTCGCTGGAGATCGTGGTGGACACGCCATGCTCTTCGATTCCACTCAATAGCAGTCGCTTTTTTGGCTTCTGGGACTCCCAGTTCATCCAAGTCCTAAAATCCAGCGAAATACAAAAAATATGCACACACACACACACAACTTGTGTTCAGCGATACAACATTGATAATTGGCTTTTTACCCTTCTATCTGGCAACAAAACTGACACCTTTTTACAAGGAGTCATGTTTGCATAGACCGCAATACCTTGCAGTCATAATACAAACAAAAGACATAACTCTGATAATGTATGCACTGTCCCTGAAGTTGATTGGTCCACACCCGAGACAAGTATTGTGGTCTATACAAACATGACTCCTTGTAAAAAGGTGTCAATTTTGTTGCCAGATAGAAGGGTAAAAAAACAATTATGATATTTTTACTGGCAAATGAGGTTCCCATAGTGTACGATACAACATTCTTCAAATTTCTGACGACGTGTATTCCTCAGAGCAATTAATGTACAAAATCAGTCGGTATTACCGGTAGGAACCACCTGGTTCCACCAGCCCACAGGGGATGATTGTGTCTGTCCATCGTGCATCCAAAAATGGGAGGGGTGGGGCTGGGTGGGGAGGGGAGGGTGGGGAGGGGCTGGGTGTGGGGAGGTGGAGGGCTGGTGGGAGGGTGGGTGGGGCTGGGGGGTGGGGTGGTGTGGAGAGGGGCTGGTCCACCCCCGTGGTGCCCTTATAAAACTCAACGTTTAACCTACTCACGACGGCTTGTGCACGGCCCTCACAGTTGGCCATTGACCGAGCAACCCCAACGTTTCCTACCCCGCTCCCTCCGCAGGAGGAATGTGTTTATTTGTACCCACTACTGGATCAGGACTCCTCAGCCTCCTCACTCGAGCATAGGTGACGATCCCTCTATCAACTACACACGAACTAATCTCACAACTCGAATCTCTGTGGTGGTCATCCTCTTGGTGATGTGTGCTCTACTTTGGAGCCACTCCAATGCAGTCAGTGATGTTCCCTTGCCGAAGCCCATCTACTTTTTTGCAGTTGTCAATGTTTCTTATTTGCATGTTTCGGTATCCACGTGTAATGGGTTCCGGAGACACTTGTAGAGGTAACTCTATTATTACAATACAACACTCCAACAGTCCTGATACTCTGTTACAGCCTAGGTTACACAGCCTAGGTACACAGCCTAGGTAGACAGTCTAGGTACACAGCCTAGCGACACAGCCTAGGTACACAGCCTAGATACACAGCCTAGGTAGACAGCCTAGGTACACAGCCTAGGTACACAGCCTAGGTACACTGCCTAGGTACACTACTCTGGCTATGCTCTGGGGTCCTCCGGCTACAATCCCCCTAGGGGAGGCTACCTGACCCGACCCAGCCAAGGTCCGACCCAGCCAAGGTGCGGGTCTGGACTCTGGCTTCCCTCGGAACTCGCCCTCACAAGGACGTAGAGCCGGGAGGTCCCAGAGTCCCACCACTGGCCCTCACAGCGTCCCGGCCCTTACAAGGACAAGCGGGACGAGGGGGTACAGGGTCCTAAGCTGGCTGGCTGGCGGGTCTTGACCTGCGACTGGCCCTGATCGGCCAGGGAGCTGCCCTTTATTGCCTCGTGCCCAACGAGGGGTGGGGTTGTGTGCGCCCCCAGGTATCCCACAGAGCACACACAGCCCCCCCCCTGGTGGCACCAAGGGGCTTAGCTGTCTGGGGTGCCTGGGATCCTAGCGCCTGCCGCCAAGGGCTTCTCTGCCTAGGGTCCCAGAGCCCCCTCTTGTGGCACTACAATCCTCACCTACTCACCACTCACCCTCACCACTCACCCTCACCACTCAGCACTCACGCTCACCCCTCTCCCTCACCACTCACCCCTCTCCCTCACCCACTCACGCTCACCCACTCACCCTCACCACTCACCCTCACCATCACCCTCACCTACACACGCATTAACTCTTTACAAGTTAATTCCAACCTTCCATCTTCTCAAGCTTCTTTGTGCATTTTTTTATGTTGCAGAAAAACTTAGAAATAAATCCCAATCCTGTATTCGTTAAAAAACACGCGTAGTTTGCGTGAAAGCGTCCGTAGGAACTTGCCTGCAGAGTGACGTTCATCAGCTGTTGGACACTCGACAATCCACGTGAAGTGAAATTCTCCAAAACTCCAAGCAGTCTATTTGTTTCAGGAAGCTTGAGACACAAAAACAACACACACAAGGCTCCAAAATGTTAATACCAAATACAAGAAGCACGAAAAGTACTTTGTACGGATGAATTACATTAACTTGCACATTTTTACTCCGTAAACATTGCGATTAGAAATAACATGTGAAGCAACACTTACATTGCTTGTACTGTATATCCCTATGGAAAATAATGACTTTTTTTTATTGGAAATCCAAGTGCAAAAATCAGCCCAAACTGCATTACGAACTTTGCTTTTCGATTTTAAAGCTTTCGTGACTGCAGGGATTCATCTTCTTGGTTCTATCGGTAAAGTCTCGTAGAAGGGAAGTAATAAAATAAAACATAATAAAATAATAAAATAAAACATAATAAAATAATTCTCACGACGTTACGGCTGCTTGCGTTGTGGCTGAAACGTCGTGAGAATTATTTTATCATGTATATTATATTATTATATTATTATGTTTTATTTTTATTATTTTATTACTTCCCTATACGTGACTTTACCGAAAGAACCAAGAGATGAACTTTGCGTTGTTTAATTCACCCACCGACTTAAGTATTGTAGTCGGTATCCACGATCAAACTAAACACTTGAAGAACCCAGACTCGTATATAATAAAGGAGGTGTTATAAACACTGCAAGTCAACTAAAAATATCTAATGCAGTTGTAGGAGTGCTCATAGTAATATCCGAGGACCGATACCGACCCACCTACCCAGTGACTAGGGAAGATGTTGCAGTGTTAGGAATAGAATACGTCAAGGAAAGCCATTTAAATAAAGCAGTGATACATCATGAAAAGAATGGAGCGTGCAGACGCAACAGTAGAAAAGGTTTAGTTATAGTACAGTGCATATTATCATTATCAGAGTTGCTTCTTTTTGTTGGCATTTTTGACTACTTGCGTTGTGGTCATTGCAAACATGATGCCTTGTATAAAGGTGTCAGTTTTTGTACCAGTTGAAAGGGTAAAAACCTATCACTATATTTTGCCACTGCTAAAAGAGATGTCTCAAGGTGTATGATGCCTTGTATAAAGGTGTCAGTTGTTGTACCAGTTGAAAGGGTAAAAACCTATCACTATATTTTGCCACTGGTAAAGGAGGTCTCAAGGTGTATGATGCCTTGTGTAAAGGTGTCAGTTTTGTACCAGTTTAAAAGGGTAAAAACCTACTACTATATTTTGCCACCGCTAAAAGAGATGTCTCAGAGTAGAAAAGGTTATTTCAGCAAAGAATCCCTTTCATTTATTTGTAATTTTTTTCAGAGCGTGAATGATGACGATCTTCTTGCTTCTTTCGGTAAAGTCACGTAGAAGGAAAGCAACATTATATTATTTTAATATATTATTATATTATTTTATTATGTTTTATTTTTATTATTCTATTACTTCCCTTCTACGTGGTGACTTTACCGAAAAAACCAAGAAGATGAATCCCTGCAGTCACGAAAGCTTTAAATCAAAAATGACGACGATGTTCAAAGGTGGCGACGATGATGCACCTAAAGGGCACTTACTTGTAAAGAGCGTTGCCAGGCTTGCCGCTGTCCGGCAGGGTTCCAAGCCGGGCCCGTGGGTTGTCTCCGTCCGGTGGCCGTGGGGGACCATTGGATCCACTCGCTTCACCCGTCACAACATCCTGTGCAACGCCTGCAACCAGTGGATGAGCATTCGCAATAAAACCATTTACACCTCAACACATATACGAGTAATATTGAATTCATCCTCTTGGTTCTTTCGGTAAAGTCATCACGTAGAAGGGAAGTAATAAAATAATAAAAATCATAAAATAATTCTAACGACGTTTCGGCCACAACGCAAGCAGCCGTCTTCAGGTGGAGAACAGGTGTGTCGGAAAGACAGCGTCTGACAGACCTGTTCTTCACCTGAGGACGGCTGCTTGCGTTGTGGCCGAAACGTCGTGAGAATTGTATTTTATCGTGTTTTATTTTTATTATTTTATTACTTCCCTTCTACGTGGCGACTTTACCGAAAGAACCAAGAAGAGTGCGTATCACTTTGTGGCAAATTATGTCACGTCTTTCAATTCTACCGCGTGCCGCCACGTTCCGTACAGAGAAATGTGCTGCGCCGAGCAGGGAGAGCTTGCGTCACCTGATGAGGAACCTTCGCCCGCACTGGAGGGTCCCTGGCTGCCGGCCAAGACTTCCTGTGAACACTCGCTGCCGTGTCGGCTGAGGTTGGACGGCCTGCCACGCAATTCCGTCACGTATCTGGGAGGGAGAAAAAACCCAAAAAATTAACCCTCTTGATGTGCAAATTATTTTGTCAAGGCGCCCTTCCCCCCCCTTCCAACCCAGCGTATATACATGCTCCAAGCGCGTGTGCTGTTTCATTCAGACGCTGTCGCCTCGACAGACCTGTTCTTCACCTGAGGACGGCTGCTTGCGTTGTGGCCGAAACGTCGTGAGAATTATTATTATTTTTATCATTTTATTACTTCCCTTCTGTTGCTACCATTTAATTACAGCAGCAATCGGGAACTTCTCTCGCAAGAGCAACGATTGTCTATTTCGTGTTCACGTACTGTTGTTGCTGCAGGTTGCGCAACACATTGGCATCCGTGGGCAGCGTTCGGATTAGCTCCAGGTTTTCCTTGATTTTCTTTAATATTTCAAATGTTCTCTCCCATGCACCTACATACATACAGACCGCAGAGCAAATTCTTTCAAACATGAAATGCTTATTGTGACATGTGATTGCGAGGAATTTAAACGAAAGCAGGTAACTTACCAGGAGGCGAAATATGTCTTCTTGGTCGGATGGCCAATTGCTGCCACAGTTGCTTGCAGTCATCAGCATGTCGTGCACCACTTTCACGCAGCCTGAGGATTTGGTTAAGTGGCAAAAGCGGACAGGTAAGGCGAGTACACGCAGGGACAATTTCTTTCAGAATACATTGAAATGATGTTCATGGGACCTCCTTTGCCAGTACCAAAATACTAATAGGGGTTTTCACCTTTTTTCTGGCAACAAAACTGATACCTTTTGCAAGGAATCATACTTACATTAACCCAATACTTGCAGTCAAATGCAAACAAAAAACAATACTCTGATAATTTATGCATTGTCTTTGAAACTGATTGGTCCACACCAGAGACAGCTTTCTTTAGAGCCTAGTCTCATATGGTGTTCGACCAGATGACGCCAAAAGGCGTCATCATGGGACCTCCTTTGCCAGTACCAAAATATACTCATAGGGGTTTTCACCTTTTTTCTGGCAACAAAACTGACACCTTTTGCAAGGAATCATACTTACATTAACCACAATACTTGGCGTCATCTGGTCGAAAACCATATGAGACGAGGCTCTAAAGAAAGCTGTCTCTGGTGTGGACCAATCAGTTTCAAAAACAATGCATAAATTATCAGAGTATTGTTTTTGTTTGCATTTGACTGCAAGTATTGTGGTTAATGTAAGCATTATTCCTTGCAAAAGGTGTCAGTTTTGTTGCCAGAAAAAAGGGGAAAACCCCTATTAGTGAAATTATATAATTTACAAAAACCTCAAATGTGTCTTAATAGCTAGACAGCACGTGTGTGTGAACAAGGGGCAGTCAAAGTGATCACCTTGGGAGTTCGTATCAGAAGCCGCCTCTCCACTCGCTCGCTGACTGCTGCCAGAAGTGGACACCTTAGGCACTTGTGGGGTGTGCTCAACTGGCTGAGCCTGTGGAGACTGACAAGTCTGGGTTGCTGCCTCTGCCAAGGCAGGAGGATACTGCTGCACAGACTGAGCTGCATTCTGCATGGTGAGTGAAGGAGCCTTCCGATTGTTTGGAGACTGCTGCTGCTGCTGCAGCTCCTCACCGTCCTGATGCATGCACTGCTCGTCCATTTTGATATCTTGGAGATTTGAAGCTTTCGCGACTGCAAGGATTCATACTCGGTACAGTCACCGTGTAGGTAAAAAATGAAATTAAAATAAAAGAATAAAAATCACAAATCCTGCATAAATCACAAATCCTGCATAATGCACGGGCATAAGTAGTACTATTCACTTACCTGCATTTCCCATATCCCCTCCCTTTTGCTGCTAATCCTGCATAATGCACGGGCATAAGTAGTACTAATCACATTCCTGCATTTCCCATGAATATGCTAAATTCCTCTTGATATGCAAATTATTTTGTCGAAGCGCCCTTTCCCCCCTCCCAACCCAGCTTATATATATGCTCCAAGCTCGTGTGCTGTTTCATTCAGACGCTGTCTCCTCGACAGACCTGGTTTTCACCTGAGGACGGCTGCTTGCGTTGTGGCCGAAACGTCGTGAAAATTATTTTATTATTTTTTATTTTATTACTTCCCTTCTACGTGACGACTTGACCGAAAGAACCAAGAAAAATAGAAAAATCACAACGTTTCGGAAGCAACACAAGCTTCCGTCTTCAGGTGAAACAGATATTTTGCGGTGACAGTTTCACCTGAAGACGGAAGCTTGTGTTGCTTCCGAAACGTCGTGATTTTATCTTTTTTTTAATTAATTTTTATTTCATTCTTCACCTACATTTTTACATCTCTCCCCGGCGAAGCACACACTCGGGTCTCACAGCAGAATCGGCCCAGTACCTGGCCACTAAAACAAATGGCCAGAAAACAAATGCATAAAACAATTTTTTTATGGCAGCCATTGTAAGGCATGTCTTTACTTAACCAGCCAAAAGAGAATTTCAAGAAATTACAGGAAAAGATAAAATAGTTTAAAAACATTACAATGTCTCTTCAACCACGACTATAGAGACATGGTAATCGCAATCATTGTACACTTAGACATTTTCAATGTTCAGCCCTATTAAACTTGCAGCAGATATTGTATGTAGCTAGGGTTCTCAAGTTTCGTACATAACAGGATGAATTCCACACCCTCGAAATGGCATTGCTGTTGCATTAGCATCTGTGCCGCCCATTCACTAGACCAATGGCATTGTAGCTAGGTAAATACAACTCTCACAGCAACTGTCATCATCAGAGCCATTAGCGATCCGATTAAAATTCTCACGGCGTTTCGACTGCAACACAAGCAATCATCATCAGGTGTGAAATCCACAGCAAGAAATTTGAAAAAAATTAACCCGTAAAAACAAAGTTTTTCACTATAAATCCTTTATATGCGTGGCATCGGTTTTATTTTATTATTCATTTCTGTTTTTCTTGAGTAATAAAGTTTCATTTTTATCACATTGCTATTTTAAATTAAATATGAAAAAACATTTTCCTAAAAAGTTGTCTCGCACAACGAGTCTGTGTGCAACATGTCAGCTCGATTGGATCACGGGAAGAGGGTTAAAAAACGACCGAAAGATTTGCACGGTCGTAAGTAAGCGCGCAAGCAAGTGAACTTAATATAAAGGATTTAAAAAGGTAAAATAAAAATGCTCACAACACAAGCAATCGTCATCAGTCGTGAGAATTCCAGCAAGAACCAGCAGCCCTCCCGTGGCCTTGACACACACAAGCTGCGGCTGCTGCTGTTGCCACGTGCTCACGATACCACGTGGACATCGACTCCACAGCTGTGCAACTCACTCGACGTCCCCCCTACGAAACAAAGAAGCAGCGCGGCTGTACCTGGTAAACACAACAACACAACAACCACAACAACAACTACCACCCCCACAACAACAACCACAACAACCACAAAACGAACGTCTCACCACAGATCAAGATGGCGGCAGCAGCAGCAAAGCCAACCACGTGACCACTTCCTGGCTCCCACGTGGCCGCGTGACGTCACGTCAGCGGGGGGGGGGGGTATCACATGTGAGGGAGGGGGGTCACGTGTGAGGGGGGGTATCACGTGCGAGGGGGGGGGTCACACGCGAGGGGGGGGGGGTCACGTGTGAGGGGGGGGTGTCATTGACAGCTAACAATGTCTCTGCTGCAGCAAACCCCCCCTCTCTCTCGACACAGAGGCGTTGGGTCTCTGTGTGTCTCTGTGTGTGTCTCTGTGTGTGTCTCTGTGTGTATTGTGTGTCTTGTTGTGCTCGTGTGTCTCTGTGTGTGTCTCTGTGTAGTGTCGTGTCTCTGTTGTGGTGTCTCTGTGTGTGTCTCTGTGTGTGTATATCTGTGTGTCTCTGTGTGTCTCTGTGTGTGTCTCTGTGTGTCTCTGTGTATGTGTGTGTCTCTGTTGTGTGTCTCTGTGTGTGTCTCTGTGTGTGTCTCTTTGTGTGTCTCTGTGTGTGTGTCTGTGTGTGTGTCTCTGTGTGTGTCTCTGTTGTCGTGTGTCTCTCTCTGTGTCTCTGGTGTGTCTCTGTTGTGTTCTCTGTGTGTCTCTGTGTGTGTCTCTGTGTGTGTCTCTCTCTGTCTCTCTCTGTGTCTCTGTGTGTCTCTGTTGTGTTCTCTGTGTGGTCTCTGTGTGTGTCTGTGTGTGTCTCTCTCTGTCTCTCTCTGTGTGTCTCTCTGTGTCTCTGTTGTGTGTCTCTGTTGTGTGTCTCTCTCTGTCTCTCTCTGTGTCTCTGTGTGTCTCTGTGTGTATCTCTGTGCTCTGTTGTGTGTCTCTGTGTGTGTCTCTCTCTGTGTCTCTCTCTGTGTGTCTCTGTGTGTCTCTGTTGTGTGTCTTTCTCTGTGTCTCTCTCTCTGTGTCTCTGTGTGTCTCTCTCTGTGTCACTGTGTGTATCTCTGTGTCTCTGTTGTGTGTCTCTGTGTGTTCTCTCTGTGTGTGTCTCTGTGGTGCTCTCTCTGTGTCTATGTTGTTGTGTCTCTGTGTGGTCTCTCTCTGTGTTCTCTCTCTGTGTGTCTCTGCGTGTGTCTGTTGTGTGTCTCTGTGTGTGTCGTGTCTGTTTGTCTCTCTCTGTGTCTCTGTTGTGTGTCTCTGTGTGTGTCTCTCTCTGTGTGTCTCTGTGTCTCTGTTGTGTGTCTCTGTTGTGTGTCTCTCTCTGTGTCTCTCTCTGTGTGTCACTGTGTGTATCTCTGTGTCTCTGTTGTGTGTCTCTGTGTGTGTCTCTCTGTGTGTGTCTCTGTGTGTGTCTCTCTCTGTGTCTATGTTGTGTCTCTGTGTGTGTCTCTCTCTGTGTGTCTCTGTGTGTGTCTCTGTGTGTGTCTCTGTGTCTCTGTTGTGTGTCTCTGTGTATGTGTCGTGTCTCTGTTGTGTGTCTCTGTGTGTGTCTGTGTGGTCTCTGTTGTGTGTCTCTGTGTGTGTGTCTGTGTGTGTGTGTCTGTGTGTGTCTCTGTTGTGTGTCGTGTCTCTCTGTCTCTCTCTGTCTCTGTGTGTCTCTGTTGTGTCTCTGTGTGTGTCTCTGTGTGTGTCTCTCTCTGTGTCTCTGGTGTCTTGTTGTGTGTCTCTGTGTGTGTCTCTGTGTGTGTCTCTGTGTGTGTCTTCTCTGTCTCTCTGTGTGTCTCTCTGTGTCTCTGTTGTGTGTCTCTGTTGTGTGTCTCTCTCTGTCTCTGTGTCTCTGTGTGTCTCTCTCTGTGTATCTCTGTGTCTCTGTTGTGTGTCTCTGTGTGTGTCTCTCTCTGTCTTCTCTCTGTGTGTCTCTGTGTGTCTCTGTTGTGTGTCTCTGTTGTGTGTCTCTCTCTGTGTCTCTCTCTCTGTGTCTCTGTGTGTCTCTCTCTGTGTGTCACTGTGTGTATCTCTGTGTCTGTTGTGTGTCTCTGTGTGTGTCTCTCTGTGTGTCTCTGTGTGTGTCTCTCTCTGTGTCTATGTTGTGTCTCTGTGTGTCTCTCTCTGTGTGTCTCTCTCTGTGTGTCTCTGCTGTGTGTCTCTGTTGTGTGTCTCTGTGTGTGTCGTGTCTCTGTTTGTCTCTCTCTGTGTCTCTGTTGGTGTCTCTGTGTGTCTCTCTCTGTGTCTCTGTGTGTCTCTGTTGTGTGTCTCTGTTGTGTGTCTCTCTCTGTCTCTCTCTCTGTCTCTGTGTGTCTCTCTCTGTGTGTCACTGTGTGTATCTCTGTGTCTCTGGTGTGTGTCTCTGTGTGGTCTCTCTGTGTGTGTCTCTGTGTGTGTCTCTCTCTGTGTCTATGTTGTGTCTCTGTGTGTGTCTCTGTGTGTGTCTCTCTCTGTGTGTCTCTCTCTGTGTCTCTGCTGTGTGTCTCTGTGTGTGTGTCTCTGTTTGTCTCTCTCTCTGTGTCTCTGTTGTGTGTCTCTGTGTGTGTGTCTCTCTCTGTGTGTCTCTCTGTGTGTGTGTGTCGTGTCTCTGTGAGTCTCTGTGTGTCTCTGTGTGTGTCGTGTCTCTGTGTGTCTCTCTCTGTGTCTCTCTCTGTGTGTCTCTGTGGTCTGTGTGTGTGGTGTGTGTGGTGTGTCTCGTGTGTGTGTGTCTGTGTGTGGTGTCTTGTGGGCTCTGGTGTGTGTGTGTCTACCCGTGTGCCGGACGGCAACTCTGTGGTGGCAGTGCGTGGGGGGAGGGCCAATGCCCATGGCCTCCCCTCATGGAGTCTGTGACCACCACAGCGGCTAAACGGGGGCTCTAGGGGGTGCGAGGGGCTGGTAACCCCTCCACCTTCAATTAATTACCACTAAACCACGAAATGTACTATTAAGCTTGTGCCGGAGGCCCCGGGGGGGACAGGCGTCTATGACGTCTCCTGGCCAAACCCCATTTGGCGGAGCCAGGAGATGAATCTTTACCCTCGGGGCTCCTCCAGAAACAACAAAAGCCACTTCGTGTGGCCACGTGGAATGTTCGAACGCTCACTGCGGAGGAGAGGCTGCCACTCCTCTGTCGGGAGCTGGACCGGTACCGCCTGGATCTCTGTGGCATTCAGGAGGTCCGGTGGACCGGCTCTGGCTCCTGCCACCATGAGGGGTGGACAGTCCTCTACTCGGGGCAGGAGACTGCCAAACAACAGGGAGTGGCTCTTCTTCTGAACAAAAGAATGAAGGGGGCGTGGGAGCGTGGCGGTGAGGTGTGGGAAGCTGTAAGCCCCAGGCTACTTTGGGCTCGCCTTCCCATCAACCGGAGGCGAGGAGTGGTGGTCGTGGTTACTTATGCCCCCACCGAAGACGAACATCCGTGGAGGGATGCAGGCAAAGGCCGATGAGTCAGATGCCTTCTATGACCTCCTGTCACAGGTGCTGGCTAAAGTGGCCACTCGGGACAGAGTCATCTTGTTGGGTGACTTCAATGCCCGAGTTGGTCATGATGCTGGCACCTGGTCTGGAGTGATTGGAAGGCATGGGCCAGATCAGCTCAATAACAACGGTAGGAGGCTGCTAGATTTTTGTGCAGCCCATGGGCTTGTAATTACCAACACGCTCTTCCGGCATCGGCGCATCCACACAACATCATGGATGCATGCCGGGTCCAAGCAAGAACATCTGCTGGACTACATAGTGACGGACCAGCGGATGCGAGCCCATGTCCTTGACACCAGGACCTACCGTGGAGCTGATCTGCCCTCTGACCATCGACTAGTCATCTGTAAGATGCGCCTGCCTTTCTTCCACTCCGGTGGTGGGTGTACACCCAGGACCCCATTCAACCCCTTAGTGGCCTGGTCTCAGTTAGCTGATGAAAGTTGCAAGCGAGAATTTCATCATCGCTTGCGGCTGGGGTTGGCATCGTCCCCCACTCCTCCTGATGTCGAGGGTAAATGGGCGAGGTTTAGGACTGTGACTCATGCAGCTGCAATGGCTGCTTTGGGTACGCGGTCCAGACCTCCCCAGAGACCCTGGCTGACAGAGGAGGTGTTCAGGATAGTTGAGAAAAGCGACAGGCCCACTCTCATCGGCTACAGCATCCCACGTCAGAGAATGAGGAGGCTTACCGCAGCCTTCGCTCGGAGGTTCGGAGAGCCGTGAGGCGCTGCAAGGATGGGTGGTGGTCGCGGGTTGCTGAGGAGATGGAGTCTGCCTCAATGGCCCGCGATCACAAATCACTATTTAACTCCATCAAAAAAGTAACCTGCAGCGCCACACCTATTACCATCATTAGGGGAAAAACGGTGATCCAATCTCCGACCCCCAGGAACAGGTTTGCAGATTTGCTGAGCATTTCTGTGAGGTCCTGGGGGAGGGGAAATCCTCAGCCAGGAAAACATCGTGGCACAAAGTGGGGATGACCCTGCTGAGGCTGCGGTGCCTCAAATATTGGAAGAGGTCACCCCCTGTGAGTGGCTGGCTGAGGTGCCATCTGTTGAGGAAGTACTGAAGGGCGATCCGAGTCTGAGACCAGGAAAGGCACCGGGCAGAGATGATCTCCCAAGCGAAATGCTGAGGGAGGGTGGCGTTTGTGCACAGACTGCCCTACATGACATCATAACAACAGTCTGGACCACTGGACGGGTTCCGCAGGACTTGGAAGGATGCCCTGGTGGTCCCCCTCTTTAAGAAGGGGGACCGCACAGACTGTAACAACTACAGGGGCATCTCACTCCTCAGTGTGCCGGGAAAGGTCCTGGCAAGGATTATTCAACATCGCCTTGCTAGGCACGCTGAGGAGAGGCTTGCGGAGCCCCAATGCGGTTTCAGGAAAGGGCGGGTCCTGCACAGATGCCATATTTTCTGTCCGTCTGCTACAGCAGAGGTGTAGGGAATTCCAACAAGACCTACATCTCTGCTTTATTGACCTGGTCAAGGCCTATGATACCATCAGTAGGACTGGCTCTGGTTGTTCTTCGTGCTTTCGGAGTCCCTGACCCCTCTGCTTCACTGATCATTAAGGACCTTCATGATGGTGAGGCGGGCCCGGGTAAAACTACGTGGCCGGGAGTCGGAGCCATTCCCTGTACACCTTGGGGTGCGACAGGGATGTCCTC